CTGATACGTAAAACCATAGAACTCAAAGAGGGTGTACTTTCTTTTTCACACAACTGTACATATTTAGTGGAAAGAGTACTTTGAAGTCATATTTCCATGTATTTTTAGCTCTATTCCTAGCCACCAGTTTGTCCAACCCTCAAAGATGTTCTATCATATCCATGCTTATTACTATATTTCAAAGCATTTCTCTCTCAGCAGGGTTGCATTTATATTTAGTAGCATGCCATTAGTTTCAAAGCTGTTGGATATGTTTCATATGTTATAGGTTTCAAATAAGCCCAATGATGGATTAGGGATGTTTGAAGAAGACAATAGTTATCTTTATGTCCAAATATATCACATTTCTAATTATTGGAAAACTATGCTTATAGAAAGAATGAATTGTATTTGTTCCAGTAAAGAAGAAAATCAATGCAGAATTGACTATGTAGTGGACAGAATCCTGTTGTGTAAATGTCAGAATAGTACAGGCCCATAGTATGTGCCCGTAGGACATGCCTTCCTCAGTATGGTCTCCACCAAATATTTTGAGCTACGTGATAATTGGAAAAGAGCCACATTAAGATATATGAAAAAAAGTCACCATCATTGGGTGATAATAACTATAACCAGTTATAAAGTACTTGGTGTTCTCTGAGCTCGGTTGTTTTCTTGCAGATATTTCATTACCCAACTAGATAACTTCTTCAGTGCTAGAACGGAATGGGGTTTGCTTTCTGTTTATATACAGCATCTTGCTCTGTCAGTGTTGGTGGGGGTGTGGTTTTCTCCTTGGTAGTTCCTTGATTAGGCTGTTTACTGTTTGATTTTTTTTGTCTGGTGTTAATCCTGGTGTTAATCTCTGCTGATCTGGGTGTTGATTGCTGGCAAGGAGATGTTCTGGTCTTTTTGTTTCCCTTTTAGCTTTTTTGTTATCTCTTTTGAATGGTGTGTAAATGTTGTTTATCTCTATGTGCCTGTTGATGGCTGACTTGTCTGAAGACCAAGCTTTCAGGAAGTCTCTTGCGTTTTTGGATTTAGCTTGGTCAAGGATGCTCACAGTTTCCCAGTTGATACTATGGTTGACTCTGTCCAAGTATTGTGAGATTAAGGAGTTTTCATCATGTCTTCTGACTGCTAGTTGTTGTTCATGAATGCACTCTGTTAGTCTTCTGCTTGTCTGTCCTACATAGTGACTGTTACCATCCTTACACTGTGTGTTGTAGATGACTCTTGTTTTTTCTTCTTGGGCTACTGGGTCTTTTG